TTGTTACGCGCCTGCATGCATGCCTACAGACGAAGAAGCCTACATACGTACGTTAGTATGTTTCAAAATATATATCTTTAGCATTATAATATGACATATGCAACTTCGATTTAAGCTGAGCTCTTAAAAAATGCTATAATAAAATCCAACTGATTTGCTGCTAACGAAATGTTCTTAAGACGAGTTAAAATCTAATTGACACTTAAATTTCAGTGATTCTTGTCAATGCGTTGATCCTGTTTCTGGAAACAAAACCTATCTAGCGCCACCCAACTGTGGTAAGATTTTTTTTCTTTTTCAACTTCTTATTTGATTTTTATTGATTTTTTGTTTAGTGTTTTGCTGACACTGGAGAGGATGCAGGATTTGTCGGTAGGGGGCGGTAGGGGGTGCATGAGAATTCACATCACCTCAGGTTGGGGCTGAGGTGAGAACATTTTAATAATATGGACATCAAGTTGCCCGGAAATTGCACTCTCACACTTTTAAAATCTAACATGTACTATATTTTTTAATGATAAAAATAATATATAAATAATACAATACAATTATTTTTCTTAATACAATTTTGTTTTTTTTTTTTTGGGGGGGGGGGGGGGGGGGGGGAGGGTGCGCGATCGCACAGTCTGCATCCCTCCTGCATACGCCCCAGTGACATCGTAATTATTAAATTATTTTCTACGAAATTGTACCGTATTTCTTTTGGCTCTTTTAGAGCTTCCCATTACTACTACGACAGAGATGCCGCCTGTTACCCAGTCGACTGTTGACCCAACCCCAGTCCAATGCAAGCTGTACTCTTGTCAAGAATTCTGTCCTTACGGTCATGGAAATGATGACTCTGGTTGTCCTACCTGTGATTGCAAAGTGGTTGAGAAATCATCCGTTCGGTATAGTGAAACATGCCGAGAAGTCAGAATTCGTATGGAAGATGAAATTGCTCAATGGAAGAAAAGTTCGATAAAAACTACTCCATATCCGTGGGTGCCAGAATGTACAGACGACGGGAATTTCAAAGCTAAACAGTGCAATTATAAAGCTGGGTATGTAGACTAGAGTGTAATATTTAGGCCTATTTATTTATTTGTTTAGGCCTATTTATTTTTATAGAACCATAATTTATATAGCACCTTTCACAATCCGCAGTTTTACAAGCGATTATACAAGGCGTTGGCATCATTATTTCCCTGGACAATGGATACTGAATTGGCAGATCTGCACATTGTGCAACTTTCTCTGCTTAAACACACACGACCCATACATTCAATGCCATACATCTTACCAGGTACCCATTTATACTCCTGGGTGGAGAGAGGCAAAAGTAAGTAAAGTGCCTTGCCCACAAGCAGTGCGACGAGCGTCGGTCTCGGACTCCCGATCTCCCGATCTCACAATTTCACATCTCACAATCAGAAACCTTACACGCTGCGCCACACACCTATAACTTATAACGATATTGAAAACATTATTTATTTGGAATACTAATAATAGCGAGCCTAAAAGTTGATCGATTGAGTGATTGATCGATCGATCAATTGATTGATTGGTCGATTTGGTTGATTGATTTGTTAATTGATTGATTGATTGATTGGTTTATTGATTGTTCGATCGATCGATCGATTGATTGAATAAATGTTTGGTTAGTTGATCTAATGATTGATTGTTTTATCTATTGAATGACCCCTGCCTGGGGTAATACTCATTATTATATTATTAATATAGTTATTATCATCCGTTTTTGTCCTGTTTAACTGTGGAGCCTACTGTTTCAAAGTTTTAACACTTTTTCTGGCTTCGTCACTTGTTCCGTCCGATTGTACATAAATATTCTGTATCTGTAAATATCAGTTTCGGTGACAGTCGTGATAGTCATGATGACGTCACCAAACCTCATTAGTGGATTCTGATCAGATGATAGATGACTGGTGCTGGCACCAGCATAGAAGTGATATCAGAATTTTGTTCTTTTTTTCTCTATCTCTCTTTTATGTAAAAACAATGTGTTTCATCATTACTATACTAGGCACAGAGACCATTATCTTTTCCTTTTCACTAGACTACTTGAAAGCAAAAACCTATTGTTTACTATGGCCCTGAACTCCGGAACGGATTACCAAATTATATTACCAATTTAAGGTCTATGTATGCATTTAAATCTGCCAGTGAAAAAAAAAAACATTTCTTGCAATTCACATTATTTTTTTTCGCCCTTACTTGCTTGGATCACTTAAGTTATGCTTCTCTATAATTGTGAAATATATTATTATTATATCCATTATCTTTCTTACATTTTTCTGCTGTTTAACTGCGTAGCTTACTATTTAAAAGTTTTAACACTTTTTCTGGCTTCGTCACTTGCTCCACCCAATTCTACGTAAATGATCTGATACTGTAAGTAGGGGGCCTATCAGTCACGTTGACAAATAAGAATTATGATAATCATGATGACGTCAGCAAACCTAATTAGGGGATTTTGATCTGATGATTGATGACTGCTGCTGGCACCAGTATAGAAGTGTATTAGCATTTTATTTGTTATTATAATAATATTGTATGATTACCATATATGTTATTTAATAATTTCACTATGTTACATGTTGTTATTACTTAGTAATGATATTTTGTTAAGCCTATATTCATTTCATCTGCACCATAACATTTGAACAAGTGGAAATAAATAAATTGGATTGAATTGAATCGATTGAATGATTAATCGGTATGTACATATAAAACGATCGGCTATATGATTCTAATTTTCGGTTTGATCATCACCAGATGCTTCTGTGTTGATCAAGAATCAGGATTTCCGAATGGAAAAACAATCCCAGACTGTGGTGAGTACATACTGTAGGCCTACCGTATATTGAAGTAACATATACTGTACTAAAGTTAAGAGTAAATAGTAACTTTGTTTGTATTTATACTGTAGCTTGTGATGACAATAAATTCTGATTCTGATTTTGATGCTGACATCAGTTGGTCGTTAATTCAATTAATGTACGATTGATGCCAACTACAGTGCACCCTCTAAATCGATACTATATTTGGGACCTGAAAATTTAGAGTTGTCTCGGGGTTCAGTTTCCAGTTAGAGAATGTATGCTTTTATTTGAAAGATTGTTAATCGGTACCTTGAATCTGGTCTCAAATTATGGTCTTAAATTGAAGGGTGAACTGTATTTCTATAGTTCCAAATTGACAATCGTCTATTCCTTATAGGAACCTACAAGGACTGTGTTACGAATAGGATCAATGCGTTATTCAAAGCGCTTAGAGGTGCTTCGCACAAGAAAAAAGCAAAGTTAATAAGACGTCTCTTAAGTGGGGATGATGCAAACGATATCCAAGTAGCTATGGACATGCTCAGTAAAGAAGAGGATGAAAGCCTACTCTTTGACCCTACTACACACATACCGAGTTGTAACGAGTATGGTGACTACGAAGCTCTGCAATGTAGAATCGCTGAAGCTGTATGTTGGTGCGTTAATGTTCTTGGAGAAGAGATAACAGGTAGCGAAAGTTCCACCGTGTTTCCTGATTGTTCACATTATTCCCGCCAAGGTTGGTGTATAAAGTGAATGTGTCACTTCTTTATTACCTGAATGTTTCTGTGCTTAGTTTATTATATATATAAAAAAACAAAACAAAACAAAACAAAAACTTGTAAGATGAAATGTTTTTACAATAAAATTACCCTGTGTTCGTTTATGTAATAAAGAGATTAAGATACTGGAATAAATACTGTACAGAATGTTGTTGAAATATAGAATCCTTTTATCCGTGTATCTACCACTTATTATACTAGGAAATTTGTTCTCTTTCAGTATCTTCGATGCCAATACGTACGAATGAAATATATCCTATAAATGTTTTAGAAAATGAATTGGCTGACCTGCATTGTAAGTTCGAAAACATTTCAGAGTCAGACAACTTTTACATCTTCTGGACACAAAATGGCATACCTATTAATTCTTTCAATAATTCCCGATACAACGTTTTTGATGTTTATTATCTCTATCCGACGGCGTCGTCTAACCTGCAAATTCAAAATGCAACAGCGGAAGATGATGGCTTGTACCGATGTGAAATAGCAGATACATCAAACGATTACTATTACAAGTCAGAGCCTTACACGTTTGAAGGTAGTTTTCATCAGAATTATTTTATTATATAGTTGGAGTAAATCATTTTGGTTATTATATTAAAACATTAACAGTCTTTACCATTAGCTAGAAATCTTCCATTACATAAGCTATATGATGTTTTCCATAGCCCATCATTACTAACATAGGCCTAAATGGTAGATGTGTTTTGTGTAAATCGGTTTTGTGTAAATCGGTTGTTTTCTTTCATAGTTTGGAACCCGGATCCAAATCTTTTCAAGTGTGTGATCCAGCCTTGTAATAAATATTGTGGAATGGGCTTCAAAACTAATAAATACAGATGTCCGATTTGTGAGTGTATGCAAAAAGAAGGTACAGTAACATTTTAAAATAAATATGATAGTTTGAGAGTGAAAGAAGTTGCTCTAACCAGAATTCGAACCCGCAGCCAGCTTTTTTTTTGGTGTATATGCAGACACCTTAACCAACTGGGGTAATGAGGAACTTTAATCCGATTGGAAGCAACTGAATTAAATACTCTATTGCACATGCGTATTATTGGAACAGCACTAGTTCCCGGCGTATACAAATAACAGATATCATGCTCTACAAAAATGCCCTATGGTACCATTCTTCACTTATAAATTCCATTGAAACCGTAATTATGTACCCAGTATTAATATAGCTTGCACATCCATAATAATATAGTTATTGGTTTTATTTTCAGAGCTTACATTGTTTGGTGAATTCTATCTAATTCAAAAACAGCTCGATGAGCCGTTTGGAACCCACGATGGAAGGTAAACCACTCTTTAAATATAAAAAACAATAACACATCATGTATATAGGTCTACACATTTTTAATGTGGAATCAGATTAGGTTTAATAGCAATACTGATAATCTTTTTCTTTCTTGTTTTTCCATTAGGCCTAATGTTCTTTACTATACCAAAAATTAAATTTTGAGAGTGATTTTCTTTCTTAATAATTGAATTATTTATGATAATATCGACCAAGCATTAACATTTAACCAATGTACCCGGAATGTCAATCAAACTTAACAACTGACCAATCAGTACAGAGCAAGGAATACGCGCGTGTCTCACAAAACACACGTATGTCGTTCAGTATTATTAGAGCGGCAGCGTAGCGAAAAGTATATATATTTTCTTAAAACATGTTCTATTTTGTTTGAATGATGTAGGTGCGAAGTACAACGGCAATTAATAAGGAAGAAACTAATGGAATTAGACCTTAACGACCAATATTCGTGGACGACCATTGAAAACATCCCACAATGTGATTCAGATGGAAATTATGAAGAAGCTCAAAATTTGAGGGACCTTGGGTACGATATGTATACAACACTCAATATTTATGACTAATTTATTTTAACATTAAAGATAGTTTTGTTCGCTAACTGGGTTCCTATACTTTGCAACCTGAACTTTCCAAATTGAGATGTCCGTATTATGTGCGGTTCGTCCTACCATTAAGGATTATGTTTGTGTATATTTATCGGTTTGCATTATTTAAATACCGTCGTTTATAATACTTTTAATGTTATTGCGTTACAGACGCGTTTGCGTTGACAAGAAGAGCGGACAGCCGTCAGGTCGCGTTGTTCCAGAATGCCGTAAGACTTTTCAATTTCTAAAGCAAGAAACAGCAAGCAATAAATAAATAAATAATAAAATTGATACTGCTATAGCCTTAATCGCTATTATGTTGAATCATTTAACACTAGGCCTACAATTGCTTACTTTTAATTTGTTTGACTACAGTAGTTTATACATTATATTTTAATTCCGATTCATATTTATTATCGTTATTAACAGGTGAATTATCTCCTTGCATGGACCAATCAGCAAAGAACATTGCAGCTCATCTTGCTTTCTTCCTTAACGAGTCCACAGCAAATTCAACCTACCTCGCCGCAAGTCAGGCTCAAACAATGAAAGAGTGGAATTACGTGCTTGAACAGGCCGTGTTATCTGGCTTGCCTATTGAATATGTTGGCAATTTTACGGGACTACCTTCTAGTCCGTATTGTGATGGTAGGACAGGTGCATACTACGTGGGCGCATCTGTGTGTTCTGTAGGTTTACTTGAATGCTGGTGCGTCGATTTCAATGGTGATGAGGTAGACGGTTCTAGGGTCGGTGTCAATGAAACAATGCCATCATGTAGAGAATTGGGTAAGTAAAATCGGAAATATAAAATAGTAAAATATAATAGGCCTATACCTGTATTCCTATACTGTCCTACTACTGTACCATTACCACTGTAATTACACCAATGAAACTGCACTACTACCGGCACCAATACCAGAACCGATACCACTACCCAAGGGCATCGATCCGTGATTGAAAGTGGATGGGGTGGGGGAGGGGAGAAAAGAGGACGAATTGTAAAATAAGGAAGTCTTGGGCCGTAGGGGCCAACGCCTGACAGCCTAATATGTATATACGCTTCCAATTTTAACAACGTACAGTACAAGTACATTGTTTTCGCAATAAATTTAGCCTCTGATAACCGTTGTATCCATCAAACCGAAGGAGAAGTTACTGAGATGGTTACGAAATATACCATACACACAATTGCGTTTTTTCTCGGTTTTGGTCCCGAAATACACACTCCACATGGAACAGAGCACAAGTGAACAGAAGAAATTCATGACAGATATTCGTAATTGTTGTTCTTTCCACTCGCTTTGAAAAGTGGGGTTTTAACTATAGAAGATTGGTGAAAAGTGGGAGGGGGAAATTGATATTGCCCTTCCCCCACAGATCGACTTCCGTGCCACCACCACTAGCAGGCCTACTACTGCTGCTGCCACTGTGACGTGTACAGTACAGTATAAGGTTTAACGAATATTAATCGTTCTCTCTTTTTCATAAATAATCATCTTACAATAAATGGATTAGGTCTTTATGATTTATTTTTTCCTTTAGTTTCAGTACCAACAGATATTCCAACTCTGCTTAATCAACAAGACTCTCAAATAAATACGAGTATTGGCAGCACGATAACTTTGCGATGTGACGTGTCCACCTGGTCACCTGATACATACGTTATGTGGTTAACTCCGTCTGGGCTTACAATGGAACAAATGATGGTTTTAGACAAACGTTACCAGTTTGTCGGAGATCAGGTCACTGATTTTTCAATTCAAATCACAGATATTCAAGAAAAGGACGCAGGGGATTATACCTGTTACTATCGGTTCATTTATGATAAACGCTACACTGTTTATGTTAATTAGTAATACAGGTAGATATATAATAATTCTGTGATCATGAATAGTTGGAAACAAATGTTGTGAATGCTGTTCTCTTTCGATCATTCTGAAACTTACTATTGTCACAAACATCAGCAGCATTTTTTTAGCTAGTATATGATTTTCGTTTTCATACTAATGTGTGTGCTATTTTCTGTGTTTAAGCAGTATTTTATTAATGATGATTAAAAGTTTTTAACCAAAACATTTTAAGTTACAAGATCTCATGAGAATTGTATAAGTTGTAGACAACCACATGCATGCATCATCACAAACGTTGCTTAAAGCTAGGCACTCACTGCGTCACATCTGCTTCCGGAGAGCAATTGACGACGTAACGCCGTCTGCTGATTGTCAATGGCAGTCTGAACAGATCCTCATTCAAAAAGCGATCTGCTGGTTCCGCGCCGTTGCGTGCGTTCGTCGTCGCGTTGCCGTTGCTCACAGTGAGTACCCGCCTTTATTTGTTCTATGACAAGAAATTCAGCTACCCTCAAACTCAAGATCAGAGTTTGTATTAATTATAGCAAGATAATCGTGGTCATATCAATCGGAAATCATCAGTAATAATTTTTTATTCAAAATTTCGTTCAAGTGTTGTTTTCTAATGTAATGTAACGGTCACGCATTTGGTATCGCGACTTTTCCGTAGATGCATAGCGCCCGGAATCAAAGATAAACAAAAAATATATAACCAATAATAGTGGTTGTATTAAGTATCAACCAAAATAAAAGTATGTACTCAATAAATTAATTGCGTTGGGGAAGGACGTACAAGTAGGAGCGTATCAGATTCAGATCTACTTCTGTTGCGTTGTATTCTCAAAAATTATGTAAGAACATAAAAACCCATAGTTTTGGCACAAATATCACAGGACAAAGTGACATCAATATCATTTTTATCCAAAGTATTGTTGTTTAAAATGTCGTTCAAGGACGTACCAAGCTGCTACTGGTAGGGAAATTGCATCAGATTCAGATCTACTTCCGTTGCGTTGTATTCTCGAATATTATGTACGAAAACAACACCCATTGTTATACACAATCATAACAAGAAAAAAGTGACATATTTTTTTTTATCCAAAGCATTATTTAAAATGTCGTTTAAGTGTAGGTTCCTAAGGACGTACCATGTTGCTACTGGTAGAATTGTATCATTTTTGTTGCATTGTATATTCGAAAATTATGTACTAAAACAACACCCATAGTTATGCACAGACATAACAAGACAAAAGCGAAATAAATATATATATATTTATCCAAAGTATTTTAATAACAAATTATTAATAACAAAAAAAGTCAAATGGATAATGATTTATAATGGACCTTTCAGAATGCTTCAAATATCAGCAATACAGACAGAGCAGTAACAAAGATTATCCTCAAATTTTATAATCCATCTATAAAAATGTGTCCTAAGATAGATTGGGCTTACTATATACTACAGTGAAAAATATTAATCAATAGATGAGATATTAGCTAATGCGACATTCGAGCAAAGCAATTACTACAATTTAATTTTACCAGATAACTACGACTGCAGAGTGAGTTGTTTTAAAAGGTCGGGTAACAAATATACATTGAAAAGATTAAGCAGCAACGACCGTAACAGCAGCAAGTCTCACTTCGTTCATCTTTCATACACACACTTGGACATAACGTAAACACTTATACATCAGCTTAGACAATTAGAGAAAAAAAAAGAGTAATTTAAAACGTCTAATTAAACATTAACTCGTAGTTTGATCTTTGACTTAAACATTTAAGAGGCAAGAATAAGCTGCACACGTCACAATAACCATCTTTAGTCACAGTCACTTTCAACAATTACATCTTGAAAATTAAATGTTGGAGCAATGGTGGAGTTCATTCTTTATGTAAAGATGGACAAATCCTAATTGAAGCAAAATAATGCAATCTCAGTTTTCAGGTTGCTTACAAATGAACTTGAGGAAGGTTTGACTTTGTCCGATTTAAAATACAAAATGCAGCATATTATTATTAATTTGGTCCTGGTGTACTTGCATCAGCAGAATCTAGTGGAACAAACAAAGTATATTTTTACAAGATATTATAACATATAACCAAGTGAAGAGTCTCATCTGGCTTCCACTTAATTAAAATATTCTTCTTTACTTTTTACTTATAAAATTTTAATTTTATTCAGCAATCTAAATGACTACCTATTAATAATTAAAAAAACATTTTATACTATCTAATAAAACCATTTTCTATACCTTCTGGTCTTTCCAAGTTGCAATTTATGGAGTTACTGTCTTTATGGGTAGTTCCTTGAATTGGTGCGCCAGACTTTAAGGTACACCAGCAAATCGATCCAGAACACTGCCTCGACTTGTATGAGCCATCAATATCACATTCAGGAATGAATGCTTGGTTAGCCTCAGTGGCTACCTGCCGTTGTATAGCACAGTCACTAGGGGCTTCTGTAATGAAACATGTACTATTCATGTAATAATATGTCAGCAGTGATATATGGTAGTGAAACTTGGATTATCGAAGTTGAGGATGCCCAACAACTACACAGAAATGAAACATCAATAATCAGCTGGATCCGATGGAGTGAGTAGCTAAGAAAAATTAGTGGATGTGAGGTGGCAAAGAGGCTTACATTGGTTTGGACATGCAGAAAGGAGAGTTGAAGACAACTGGCTGAGGAGGGTCCAACGTCTTGTGGTTAATGGTAACAGTGGACGCGGTAGACCCTGCAAAACCTGGGCTCACGTTATCGTGCAGAATGAAAAGCTTGCATGGAATAATAATAGAACCTAAACTGAATTGATGATGATGTATAGAGACATCATCTGATGAGGAAGTCATGATGCTTCTAATGTGGTTACCTTTATAACTATAACGGATGATTGAACAATGTTAAATATGAGTTGTGCAGTTGCATACGAAATTTATATAGCCGACTCTCTCCATGGAGCAGATATGCTGGCTCCTTGGATTTTCGGTTTTATCTTAAATATCTTTCGATAATTCTCATGAATATTTTATGCTTTAGGTAAATATATATGTTTAAGCTACTTATTTTTTCTGCTGTTATATTTCTTCTCAAGTGCTAATATTTTAATATCTGTTTGTTGGTTGTATACTAATTAGTTTATATACTCACGGCAATTTGGCATGGAGTAGAAGGATGGTTCCCCAGTATACTGATCTACACAATGACACCTGTGGACCAATTATAAACTTTGTTACATACCTGATTTGTTATTTTCGTCTCATATAGCCTATGATTAATTTCAGACATCTTCTGTACACATGAAAGAATCAACAGTTTTCAATCTTTCTATTAATGAAACAGTCTATATCAACAGTTTGTTTTGGTATCTTCAATCATTTTTGGTAACATCCCAATTTCTAAACTGTAGATTGCATGCTTATCTAACACTATTAAAGGACTACTACAATGTTAAATAAAAAATTTACTTCAGTCCTTGATCCATTTTTTTACCCACCCCTTTATTAGACTAACCTGTCACTCCTATCGCTAATCTCAGCTCACAATGTTCAAATTAATGTAAAGGTCATGCTAGCCATCAAAAAATAAGTTACTTATTGTAATTACAGTACTTATTTCTTTGGTAAGACTTACTCAATTGGATATCTACACTGAACAAGCATGAAATTGCCATCAACAGTACAACTAGGTGGTGTCAAGTCGGCAATGAATCTACCTTGCGCTGCTGCTTCAGCTAATTGCTCTACAATTTCTGCCGCAACTTCAGCACATCTGAAATCATGAAAGGTTGGAAAATCTAATACTGTATAAAGGATATTTTGAGCAGTGTTGTGGAGTTTCTTATATAAAGGGGGAAGGGCATTTAAGAGAAAAAAGCTGAGTAAAAATTGGAGAGAGGGCAGACAAGAAGCAGAAAACACAAGAAAGGTTGTTATTAGATAGAAAAGAAGAATACTGTATACTATTGTAAATAAAACTAATCCTTTCCGAGCCACTGGGGCCCATAGGGCTGGAGCTTATCTCCAGTTTCTGTAGTGTGAAGCGGATGAGGTTAGTCCCAGCAGTTTGCTGGTACCCATTGATACAGCTGGGTGGACTGAAGCAATGTAGCTAAAGTGCCTTGCCCAAGGACACAAGCAAATCTGCACAGCGGAGACTCGAAACCCCGACCTTACGATTGAAAGCCCAAACCTGAACCGCTGCGCCAAACTGCCGCTACTATTGTAAATAAGAAATAGTAATTTGCAGAAAAATTCAAGGAAAGAATATGATATTGGAAATTAAATTAGGTACAGCACTATTAAATTAATTATAATTCTACCTTCCTGGTCCCGAAACGTCTATTGTAAATGATGGTGGTGGGGTTGGTGTAGTACCTACAAAAAAGGAAATTATATTACATTATATAATACCTTTGTAAAATCAATTAAATATCTTCATTAATAACTGTGTACAATTAAAAACACAGCAATTTGTTTTAGTGCAAGTATTATCATCTGTAATGGAAACCAACAGACAGGTCATTTTTAAAAAAGGTCGATTTCCGGCCTAAAGAATAGAAGCTGTCTCTCGGTTAGAACACTGTCCGCAGAGAAAGCATAAACAGTGTAGAATCAAGCAGTTAAAAGCTAAAAAATTAAAACCCACACAAAGCCAGGCTAAGCATAGGTGCTAGCGCAAAAAATGCTAGCAGAAACTTCTAATTATGTAATGGGTAAGCTTTTCAATTCATCAATATCGCTCTACAGCGGGAAGAAAACAAGGTTATAGCTAGTGGCAGCGTCAGGAATCTGGGGGTGGGGGGGGGAAGTGAGCGGCAAGGTAAAATTTTAGGGGAGGAATATGTATTCCCATAGCAGACTGGAGTACAATTAGAATTTAAAAAATCACAACATTAAAGAGTAATGCTTCTATCCATTTGCTTGTTATTTTATTTAAATGTTCAGTATATTTATTACAAATGTAAAAACTTTGAAATGACAGGCAGACCGATAAGAGATTAATTTTGTTGGCCATTCTTACAATGTTCAATTTTCCGGCAAAACTTTGTGGGGGGGGGGGGAAAAGAAATTATTTATCTAAGCTTCTGAATTTTTTTGGTTTTTGCCAAATATTTCCAAAACGGGAATTAGTTAATTATTTGTATCTGTTACCAAAAGTAAACTATGAAAAGTATTTACCAATTTGAGGTTCAATGTTTCTAATAAAGTTTCCTGTCTCTTCATCAACCAAAAAACACCTGGAAAAAAAAAAACCAGATAAACTTATTATTTTGCAAATTTAATATTGAGTCATTACAACACTCGTTAATTTCCAATTTATGTTGGTTTCAGCACCTCTGCCTTAACGCTTGGCCATTCGACTCGGCAGTGTTCCTGAGTTAGGTAAACAGTTGACTTACTTTGAATGATGACACTGTACAGCTTTGTAACGGCCGTCTTCAGAACAATTCAAAGGTACCAGGTCTGGTACAGTCAGCCCTTTGGCTATAGCATTTGCTTTAGTTTGCTCTATGTATGATATCATCTGAAAACAACTATTTCACGGAAGAAAATTAATCAACATTGTCAGTAAGATTTTTTTTAGTGTTTATGTGAATTATTGTGAAATGGCAGTGGAATGGAATTTGTATCTAAAATAAAGAATGCTACAGTAATAACAAAATTCAGTTTCTACTACGAGTATTAGTTCATTTGCTGATAAAATTGTAAAATAATTTAAAGTCAAAATATACTTACTTCAATTCATCAGTTGTAGAGGCCACTGACAATAAAAAAAAAATTAATGAAATAAGTTTAAGCAAATAAAATGTATTCACACTCATTTAAATATTGTTTAACACATCAATATTACTACGTATTTATTATGTATAGTTATATGGCACACTAAAGCCGGGTATAGTACTCGTACAACGAATCCAGCTCTGCTCACTGTGAGCGCTAAACGAGGCGACACCATCTGCAGATTCGTCATTGAAAATGATTCATTGCACGCACTTCGTTGCATTGTGTCCTCCATAGAATATTGTCGGCAATAGTGTGTGCTGGCTTTAGTTGGATTTTTAAAATTATTTTTGTTGATATGGAGGAAGGAGAAAGATAATGGAATTATAAATAGAACGACGATATTAATGATGATAACAGGGGCAGATTCAGATGTCCGAAATGGGTGCGGCCATCGAGAGACAATGGCATTTAAAACAATCCATTGCATGTGCGTCGTCGCGTTGTGTTCTTCATTGAATCGCGCCGGCCGATGACTGCTGGGCGCAGGGAATGCCTGGCTTTATGGTGTAGAGTTTTGGTGAACTAATTTCTAATTTTACGATCGTCAGTGGCGGGTGAAAAATTTTTTTTTTTTTTTCATTTTGAAATTGTTTTGCCAAAAACATCCAGACGGAGGAGAAAATAAAATACACAAATCAATCGTGAACCCTGAGATCGAGTGGCAGCCTGAGCTGCCCAATCTAGAGCCGCCGCAAACTTAGTCGGGGGCCAGCGCGCACAAATCTCGCAAGGCTCAGCCTTACTACACGAGCGACACAAAGGGCACTCCGAGTGCCGGTCGAGCTTAACACTCGGTTTAGGGCCCCCACACGCCGAGCACAAAGACTTGCGAGCGGACATGTCGATCGAGACTACAATAAACAAAGGATATCTTGCAAGTTGAAAATAAATCCAAGGCAAAATAAGATAGCTTGAAAAGACTGCAAGTAATTTCAAAGGCTGGGTGTATCCAACTTCGAACAATGTCGAAAAGGGAATGAGAACGTTTGTTAGGGAGACGGTTCGCACGTGGCGCCTTGGGTCGGACTGTTCCATTATTTTCGAAGGGGTGTTCCGTTTTGGGAACAATGGCAATTAGTCGGTTATCCAGGTAAGTATTCACGAAATAGACATAACGTTTCATTGGTGAATGTAAACACTGTAGTAATGGGATGATTAAATACTTTAAATTTATATAATGAAAAATAAATATATCTTATATTTGGATATTTCAAGGCATATAAAACAATAAAGAAAAACTTTTAATTTTTTCAAAAATTTTCATTTTTTGTGGAGGCAAGTGCTCTAATTGGCCAAATATAAAATTATGTTTTTATTCAAAATCATCATTATTGGCGGGCGGTGGATTTGCTAACAAGGTATAAAAAAATCTTTCCTGGAGTATAGAAAAATCTAAAAATAGACAAGCCAAAGTAAGCTATGTAAATTATGGGCCTAAACCAGAAGCTAGAGTATTCCCATCTCAAATATGAAGGTTCTTTAATGAAACAATAAACATAAAAGCAATAGATGTGCATCTAGATGCTTAGTGGAGTACTTCCATTTGACATAGCACTATTAAACAGATTCCTACCCCAATTCTGGTAAACACTGTAGTTTCTTATAATTGCCATCTTCTGTACATGATGGTGGTACTAAGTCGGCGATGGTTACTCCTGTTCTTTTGGCATCCTCCAGCGTTTCATTGATACCAGCAGCTACAGCAGCACACCTGTATATAAAACAAATATCCTTAATTTTCCATATATCAAGTTTGAGGGGTAAGTTCCACTTAATATCAGTTTTATCAAGGTAAATATATTCACAAAAGACATAACAATTGTATTTCATGTTAAAATGTGCTAATATCAACGACAAATGGAAAATAAATATTAGTTCATAATATTATGAAATAAATTAAATTAGGTGGAATTTTGATTAAAGAGTCTAACTCTAATTCATATATCATAAATGTGAAGGTGAATAAAAAATGTAAATACTTACGCTACATAGTAGACAGCAGAATCCACTGTGAAAGGATAAATACCAAATTGTTAGTTTAAGACAACCAAAAAAATAAAATATACAAACTTTAATCAATTATAATCTCAAAAAAATACTTTAATTAATATTATTTTAAAAAATTAGATTATACAAATCAGTAGATAAGTTGGCAGTCTATAAGTGAGGTAACTGGATAAACCAACTATTTCAATGTCCC